ACTAGCCCAGAGGGTCTCAGCTGGAGGGAGCCAGGATACGGTCCAGCCAAGTGGGAATGAGCACGTCAGGCAGGAGAGTAGCATGGGCTGCGGGAGGACAGGAATGATGCTACTCACAGGAACAGCAGCCCCTACCCACTGCTGCTGCGGAAGGGTCGTGAGCAAACACACCAGGTGCCCTGGGAAACTGTGAAAGGATTCATAAACATCGGGCCAGAAGAGTCCATTAGATCATCTTTTCCTCACTGAGGGCCAAATGTGGTTTTCAAATACCTTTTGAGAGCCACACGGTGTCACACCCCTCACTATTAGAAAGTCTAAATTCTCAGCAAGGCACTGATACCCAGGAAAAAAGGACCAGGTTCAATTTCAAGGCTTTTGTAGTAAAACCACACTCATGCATTATCTAATAACCCTGGAAATTCAATTACAATGTCTGAGATCTAAAGCACGAATGACACTTCACAGTGCCGTGCAAGGTAGACAAAAATACTGAACCCAGGGGCCCTTAAGACTTGCCCCCTTCCAGATGTTAGATACCCAGGATAGTCTTTTCCCTCCCTACCCTTAGTCCATGGGGACCCTGTCAGCATCAGCAGGACCGACTATGTCTCCCGTTCCCTGTGGATGGTGGGTAGAGGGGTCATGGAGGGCAGCACGAGGCAAAGTGACAGACTGGTCCCCGTGGAATGGCACTGGGCCCTGCTCCATGGGGGCAGGACATGCAGCAGGTTCTGGGGATGGGGCAATAAGCTGTGGGCCAGAGCTGGCAATAGCAAGCTGTCTCTTCCAGAGAGGGACTGCAAATGTTGCAAAGCCAATCTGGGGCAGGGTAAAATCTGAGCCCGATCCAGCCTGAGGGTAAGTGAGTTGCTGTTGCTGACACCCAACTGCAGGATTTCATCTGTGTTCCCTTTGGCAGAGCCCCAGGAGCTGCTTTCCACCATCACAGACCTAGAAAAGCATCTGGTCTCTGTTGGGAGATGTCGAGAGTTGGAGAAGTCACCATTTCTTCTGCTTGTTTATTCTGTTTTTTAATCTCCTTTCACTGATTAAATGTTTGTAACTCGTTTCTCTGTTGAATTTGCCTGTAGTTAAGTCCCAGCCATCAGTTCTTGTTATGCTTTTCTCTCCTGGATTAAAGAGTTCTGCTGTGGCCATAATTTCTGCCCGTGATGGTACTTACACGTTATAATCACATCATCCCTTGATCTTTTTGATCAGGCCACCAGGCTGAGCTCCTCAGTCCCAGAGAGATCTCTTGGAGATAGCAGTGGTGAACAGAAACACTGATTTTGTGCTAGACTGGCTCCCCACACAGCTGAATGCACAGGACTAGGTTCCTCTGTTTAATATCACTGACACAGAGCACAGGCCATGAATGTGGGTGAGGGTTTGGAAATTAAACCATTTGAAAAGATTAAACAGATTCCTCAGTCTCTGTAGCAATATATTATTCTTTAGTGAAGACGGCCAAAATAAAAAACTGTACCTTTTCAATATTTCCCCTCCTTGCAAATTATACAGGTGTTTCTGTCCTCAGCATCTTCTGCTTTACTCACCCTACTTCATCCTTATGCAAACACAACATTTACTGTCTTATCCTGGTTTAGATTAAATAATATTGAACTTGCCAGCCTCTCCCTCAGGATCTGTGTAAAAACAATTGTGTTTCTTTACGTAAGCTCCAGGATCAGTAGCTGTAACAACAGGACACCAGCGGACAGGGAGCACAGGCTGGAGAGGAGCTGATCTGCATCTGATGGCAAGTACATGCCCCCAGCCTGCACACGCAAGGGGGATCAGTGATGGTGGAGTGTGTGTCTGAGTGGGTGTGTACGTGTGTAAAAGATGGATGCTGGGAACCCAGAAGCAGATGCAGAGGAGAGGCAGGCTGACAGCCGGCGTGCCAGACCACACAGAGAGCTTTGACAGAGGGAGCAATTTGGGAGGACACCAGAAGAAATTTCATTGTGAATTGGGAGCAAATTATTTTCGCTGGTTGCAAGAGTTGTCCTGTGCCTGGTACACTCTCTACAAGACTTTAAAGAAAGACGATTACATTGAAGAAATAGCTAAATTTGTCTTCAGTTTCTTCTCCTAAAAAATATAATGCGCAGGATCCAAAAATCTGGCTATATATTCAGGTTGGAAGAAGGTAGTGGCATTTGGACAGTAGCAAAGTAAACAGAGAAACTGAGTTTTCAGTGGTACCTTTGGCAGGGGCCTGTTGGTGCTCCGGGAAGTTTCTTGCATTCACAGTGCAGCTGGATCTGGCACCTCTGGCTTTGTTCATTGGATTTGGGGGTGTGGGGCTAGAGACCATGGAGGAGATCATGGAGTAGAGGACCAGCTCTCCTCTCTGACCTCATGAACCTCATACCAACACTTTCAAGTCCCTATAGCAGCTACACATATATTTTGGTCTCAAAGACCTTTCCAGAAGATGAGAGCAAAGGCCCCAGCTTCACTATAAGGATGGCTGGCTGGATACTCAGCTGGGTTTTGAGGTGGTACGTAACATCAGCTCCAACAGCCCCAGCTGCCTTGCTCCATCCCCATGCATGCACGTGGATCACCCGGCAGCCTGAGTCACACACAGCCCTGCTCTCAGTGCTGTAAGCCATGGCCTGATGGCTTGCAAGCTCTTATGGCCCACAAGCCACACATCAGCCAAATGACCGTCCCTGTTCTAGCAGTGGCTTCCTGGCTGCCAGTTGATCCCCTGGTATCACTTACTTCTTTTGCAGCCGAAAATAGTGATTGCAACATCAATTAATTAATTTATTTTGCATTTTTTTCTTTAAGAGTAAGTGAATTCATTTTTTAAGGTAGGGTAGTGAAAAGATGGTAAATGTTATTGCATAGGAGCAGTAACTTAAAAATATCCAAGAAGAGCTCTTTCTCTCTCTCCTTTTTCTTTGTGAGTGGAAAAAATGTTAAAAACAAATCTCCTAATTTGCTTGTAGGCTGAGATTTCTGCCAAGTGAATATTTATGTCCAAGTTTGAAAGATGGGGCGTATAATGGAAGTGTTGAAATACTCTCAAGCAATTTGGAGCTGTTTGATGACATACCCTACAAGGTCAGTCCTGTTTGCTGTTAAAATCAGTGGTGAAACTTCCTTTAAATTCATGTGGAAACAGGATCAGGCCCTTTATTTAATTTGTTTCTATCTTGGTAGGAGGTTTCTTGTTCCTTTAAAATGTGCCTGTAGATGATCTCATGATCCCTGTTGTCCATGTGTGCTGGCAAAGTCCTCAAGTAGTTACAGTGCTCAGACATGACAGTATGCCAGATCACCTGCAGTCCTTCTGTCACCAGGGGGGGTGCAGGTTGGGAGATACTCTTTTCTCGTAAAGATTACCAAATATCTCCTGTGCATACTGCCTCCTAGAAATTTGCTTTCATCAAGAAAACAAGGAAAACTTACTCTCTGCCTTTCTTGGGATTTCAGATGGATACAGTTGAAAGCAAGTTCCTAACTTGGTTTCCAAGTAAAAGTGAAGTTGGACACCTAGATTTTTGCCTTAAGTGAAAGGGAAGAGGCAGGCTATCTGTCACACTGTACACAAGGCAGATGCCCTGTGTCCTCAGAGCTCTGCCACGAGTCAACTACATATTTTGCTGAGGAAGATACCAGAGCTTCTATGGGACATGGTTTGACAGAACTGTGGCCGATCATATCCAAAGTGAACAGAGTTCCCGTGTGTTTCCATATCTGCTCTGAGACTCCAGCAATAACATTCAAGTATTTGAGATATCTACTATCTCCAGAAAACACAGAAAATGTGCAACTAAGTCACAGTTGAAAATTTTGGCCTTATTTCCTGGTACTGCATAGAAATTGCCTCAGATTTTCCTGAGAACAAAAATTAATAGGATCTTCCAAAGATTAAAGTATATTTTCTGTTAGGATCTGGCATTTTGATTTGAATAATTTTTTTTGGTGAAGTGGCGATCATCACACGTTTAAAGCACCTGCCTTTGGCTTACATCTCTAGACCTAGGCTTGGATTTCAAAGCTTGTCAGTGTTAGAAGGTAAGATTTTGATTCAGACCCCATCTACTGACAACAAATAGGTATCTCTGATTTTTTTTCACTTTTCTCCTTTTAAGCACAAGAACAGCCACTACAACATAATAAAAAAATACTCATTTGTATTTTTGTACTTTCCCAAGCATTTGAAGAAAACCCCAGACAGAGCTGATGCTCATCTGGGGTGACAGCCACCACCACCACCATTTCTCTTTAACCATCTCTGTCCCTGCACCGAATCCCCCCAGCTGTGAGTTGCAGCCGTTCCCACACCAGACATCTCCTTTCACTCCACTGTGGCCTTTCCATGGTGGAGGAACACCACCGGCACAAGGCTGGCTTCTATGCCCAGCTAGGGCACTGCTGTAGAAATCTAGCTGCAGGACTGGCCAGTTACAGCACAAACTGCACCGCAGGCAGGAGAGCTCGCTCGCCTCCTTTGCCCTGGCAATCATGAAAGGGCTGTGCAGCACTTGACTTTCCACAAGGACAGCTTACATTGCTGAGCGGATACAAGTTTTACCTAGTAAGATTCTGGGCTGTGTTTTGCTGCATTTTTATTACAAATATCTAAATAAGAAGTGTTGGAAACCTTGCAGATTTGCATACTTTTTTGAGGTCTTCCCTTTTTCAGTTTCTTTGAAAACTCCAGAGAAATCAGTTGTGTCCAAAAGTATTGCTATCCACCCAGCTCCTGACCCTCACCCCCTTGCCTCACTCAAACATGCACAAAAAAGCCCCTGGGGAAAATCTTTTGGGGCGTGACCCTAACTCACATGTGGAAAGGGAGAGTTGAGTTTGTTTTTTTAAAAAAAAACTTGCTATATTTTAAAATTTATTTTATACCTTGTGGTTTGCAAATACTAACTGAGAAGTGTTGTGCAGTGAAGAGGAAGCTTTCCCCTTGCAGGAGAGGAGAGGCAGCCCCTGTCAGCCGCAGCAGAGCTGAGCTGGGGACTTTCTCACAGGTCACATCCTTCCACCCACTCAGACAGGTCTTGTCCCTTGCAGTGCATAGCGCAGCCCTCCCTGAGGACAGAAGAAACAAAGAGAGACTCTTTAGGTACTAGGATGATATAATTAATTTCCAATACTCTGTTTTTTATAGGGTCTTTCCCAATGAGGGACCTTCTGTCACTAGCCCTGGCGAAGGGCTTGCAGACACTCCAACTCTGGCTGAGCATCTCGCATTGAGGAGTGCAGCCATCACTGTCCCTTGATGCCACCAGCTCGGTCTAAGTCCTGAGAGGAACAATGAATTGCAATAGCAGGTCCTGCCACCTCCTGTCACTGCAAGGATTCCTTCTTTGCTGGGACATCACAGCTGAGCACAGTGTGTTGAGCGTGCAGCAGACCGTGAGACAGCAATGCTCACCACAGGGGCCCTGAGCCCCCTCGTTGCCTCTGCCGCACAAATTACTTACCTCTACTCAGAAATGCTACTGCTTTTGTGGTGAGCCAGGCTTCGCAGCAGCCACCACAGGAAACAAAAACAGCTAATGAGACCAACTGCAATGGCGGGGAGGGGGTGGGGGGACTCTGAAGGCAGAATCTTGTCCCTCAACTTGGAATGTATTCAGTGTTCAGCAGTTAACACCACTATTTTTGCACAAAATGCCTCAGGACTTCAGACAACCACATATTTATATGATCATTGGAATTGTCTTCTACTCCTACTTCTGTTTTCTCAGCCTGTCGGTTACTCTGCCTTTACAGGCTTCCTATATTATAGCAGCCTGGAGTCCCAGGGCTGCACCAAACAAGGGCTGTGATTCATCAGGATATTTCAGTGATTAATGCTCTAAAATGCTCTGGGAAGAATTGCTTCCATGCTAGGTGCTTCCAGATAAGATAAGAGACAGCAAAAAGTTGGGGAAAGAGCTCTTTGAAGGGCTTTGAAAGCATAAGAAGGGAGAGAAATCTTCAAGGTTTGACCTACGAGCTGATGGGCTGTTTACCGGCCATTTACTTTTCACCTGAGATTTTTTTTCTGAAACTTTTTTTCTCTGCTCCTTCCTCCCTAGTCTCTTGTGTAAGATGCTTTGCAGAGACTGAAGCGGTGCAAGTTTGTCTCTCCATTCCCAACCATCAGTCTTGAAGTCATGGTTCCTTCTCTTTGGTGCAGCTGTGTTGCCTTTATGTGCCAGTTGGGCAAAGGACAGTCATGCCCCTTCAGAAACACACGTGAGCCCTGCCAAAGAAACCATCCCCAAAGCCCCTTGCCAGACATTCATTCCTTGTGGGTTTCTCACAATTCTTTTGGCACAGATGATGTCATCAGTTATGTTACTCGATAGCAGATCTGCAAGGAGAGAAGCACAGCCCTGTGAACTCACTCAAGGGCAGGACACCAGCCCAGAGCAGATTTCCATGGTCAGTGCAGCGAGAGAAAGGCACTCGAGCAGCCCCAAACATCGGTGTGGGGCTGAATGCTGCTCATTATCCCCACTGCCGGGCTGCCATCAGCCTCACATGCTTGAACGCTGCCAGGCAGGCACCCTCATCTGCTTCTGCATGGCCAGCAACAACCATAAATACGTATTTTCCCATGGAAATGCTGGTGTGCCTGCCTCTGTAATCACATGTAAGAGAGAGCTGGAAGGAGGGGGGAAAATGGGAGGCAGACCCATCTATGCTTATGATATTTCAATCCCTTCCTGCTTGCTCAGCTGGGAAAAAAAAAGAGTCATATTAGGGAGCTTTTCTGCCTATCCGGAAAAGGTGGGTTTGGTCTGAACAGGAATGGGAGGTCCAGCTCTATCCCCCCAGACCTTGGGTTCTCTTGTATAGCACGATGTCTGCTGGTCAGACACAGCTAACCCTTCCCATGTTTGCCTGGGAGCTCCCTGCTGGTGGCAGACCCTGAGCCAAGACCTAGATCTGCCTGGCAGTGATACAGTCTTGAGTGATCGCTTTCCCAACTATGCACTCCACAACCGAGGGGATGCATTTATCTCATCCATCCCCACATCACAACCCACCTGAATCAGGACTGCCTATCTTCCACTCACATTCAAAACACCCAGAGAGCCCTGGGGTCCCTCATGTCCCAGGAGAGGAAAGGATGGATATGGGGTGAGGGAAGGGAGCTGGCCCAGATGTGAAAGGTGAAACCCTGGAGAAGGCTTGGGGGCAGTGATGCTATGGTGTCTGGGAGAAATGCCTCTGGCAATGGCCTCTCACTCCCCAGCCTCAGGAGTCAGCAGGGCCACTCACACCCTGCACAGACTGAAAGAGGAGCCGGACCCAGCTATTCATCACTCCCAACTTCTTGCAGCCACAGGCATCGAGTTGCCCAGGTTGGGCCCTGCATGGCCCCACAGCTCCATTTTGGCGAGGAGGTGAAGTTGGGCAGAGCAGGAGGGCTCAGGCATCTGCCTCCGCTCCTGGGGCTGGCTCTGGAGGAGCAGTGCTGCGGTACCCCTGTGAGCCATCCTGCAGTGGTTATCCGAGGGGCTGCAGTGGTCGGTGCACCACAGCTGGCTGCTGATCTGGAAGATTCCGTAGTCAGTGCTGCCGCCTGCTTTGATGCTCTGAGCTGCTGTGTTGAAGATGCTCTCGCAAAAGGCCATGCTAGCCCTGGGCAGGGACAGAAAGCACTTGGGCTGTGCCAAAGCTGCCATCCATGGGGATGGCAGAAGCTGAGAAAGAAAGGCTGTGGGCAGAGAGGGGACTGAAACTCATGGTGGGTGAGCCTGTAGCCCCCGTAGCCATGCAGCCCCTCTTCCTGGAGCACGTGAGGCAGCTCGCACCAGCTGAACACCTTGGCTTTGGTGACCACAGTCAGCAAGGCCAGCAGCAGCAGGAGAGACCTCATTCCTACAGGGCTGCTGATCCTCTTGTACTGTGATCCCCAGGATGAAAGGTAAAAACAAGGCGTCAGCAGGCAGTAAAGCACAGTTAGACATCCAAGGCTGGCTCCCCAACAGGCAGTGACATGGCTAGCTCTGGTGACCCCGGGCTGCTCCCACCTGCTGTCAGGGTGTGCACACCCATGTGTGCAGGCATGCACGTACACAGTGGCTGTGCTGGACAGCCTGGGCCACAAACAGGTTTTATCAGTGGAAAACACAGAGCTTCAGGCCCTGCCATTTTGCAGTTTTATTATATTCGTGGTGAAAGGTGAGGTGTCCTGTGGGAACTGGAAAGCTGACAAATGGGACGCACTAAGGGAAGGGTTACATGCTTTAGCTGCTCAGACATCTCGGCCTCTTACTCTGATGCTGGTCAACCTCTGAGCAGAAGCTACGATATACAGTGACCTCATTGCTGCTGGGAAACCATACCCAAACTCACTAACCCTTAGCCCTGGTTTGCACATCAGCCTTTTACACAATTACTGGCATGCACAGTGAGTCACATCCTACAAGCCTAGGGAGTTTGTCCGAGGAAAGGCTTCAAATATGCACTTTAACAAACAGAATTAAAATCCTTTCCTTGGGGTGATCATCCTCTGTGGGTGAGGGCAGTAGGGGCTGCCCACATGTATATACCTAGAGCAATTGGTACCTCCAGCAATGGGGCTCAGTGCCAGGCCTAGGGTGGGCATCCCAGAAGGGTGTCCCCTGGCAACTGCTCACCCTTCCAGAGTCCCTTTGCTCTGTCACACAGGGATGAAGCCCTATGAGCTCTGCCCCACACCATGGGAACAGGGAGCATCATAGGTGTGGCTGTGCTTTTCAGGCACAGCCCTTTGGGGTTCATTTTCTGTTTTACCTGAAAATTAATCCTGCAAGTGAGTCTGCCAGCAGGGGTATATTTTATATTTTAAGCTCATATTGCAGGATACTTGCACAGAGAAATATCACCTTCTCACCGGGAATATTAGCAGAACTGTTTCCAATGTCTCCAGCTGGGCAGAGGTAGGATCCGATGAACAAAAATCAAGTAAATTTGTGTCCAAAATGTTTTTAATTTCTACAATGAATTGCCCATGAATAAGTTGCAAACAATTATCACACAGATCAATTGATGAGCAGAGGCAAGCAACAAATTACAGACTTGTACTTCGTTAGATACTGAAAAGACCATTAGTGAGAGGGTCTTCCAGTCAAGGCAGTAAAAAGAAATATGAACATACCCATTTCCCTCAGGCTTGTGGCAAGGACCCAAAGAGGTTTTCTGAATGCCCCAGAGTAGTCAGTGCTTGCTCCTGGCGTGTTGGCATCTCCAGCTGAGTCAACCAAAGCCACTTCTGCCCCATGGGCTGATACCACTGCATGGCTGAACCAGGGCCTTCACACAGAGTAAGGTGAATGTGTTTATTTACTCTCGCCTTACCATTCTGGTGTCTCTTTGGTTTTGGCCATAAACACTAACAAACTCAATGAAAATTAGAAAATCACTTAGAAGAGGAGCAGTGGAAGGAATCTCCCCCTTATGGAAGCATTTGCTTTAATTTAAACTATCTAAAGATAATAAATAACAGGACTCCATAATGACATAATTTGCTCATCTTCTTGGTTTCAAAGTATTTTTTAACAAGCAAAATGAGATTTCAAACATGTCTGTGATATCTCCTCTGGACTAAATATTAATTGTGATGCCAAAGTAATAAATACAGAAATCCTGCCTGGTTGTTCTGACATGTGACTCCCTAATTGCACGAGAAGCTGCTCAGATGGGTTTCAGTTTCAGC